GAGCATACTATCAGGTGTAAATGCTTGCTGCTGTGGATTGTGAGATAAATCTGAGTAAAGGGAGTTCTAGTTTTATATAGATTTATTTTAATTCATGCTCAGTTAAAACTGTTTTTACTGTTGTATGTTTTACCTTAAGAGCGTTTGTTTTTTTCTCTCTGAATAGAAGAGATTATTTCATTTCTGCTAGATGGCTTCATCTACACGCAGTAGCCTAAAGCACATTGTAGAGTTGTATATTTTGTAAAGTAAAGAGAGATCATCGCCGTGAAAGATTTGATTTAAGAGAGCTATTTCACTGATAGTGTGAACATTTTATAAGCTATTGCTTTTTAAGGTTTAAGTGCACATTGTTTTTTTTTGTTTGTTTTTTTTTGGGGAAAGGTTGCACAGTTATTTTTGTCTACCCTAATTTTTGATTCAATAAATAATTTTGCAATCAACTGGCTGCTTGTGTTTTAACACTGTTTAATAATCAGAATTTCCTTTTTTTGTCCCCTCTTACGTAGCAGTTAGATTGGACAGATGGTAGTATGAACCTTGCTTTGGAAAGCATCACTCTGTGCCATTCCCAGCACTGTGGTCATCCTGCTGTCCTCATGAAATATATTGTAACCTCTCTCTGTCTCTCTTTTGCCACACCACAGATGAGCTACTATTCCAGGCAGTAGCTCATGACCCTGACTCATCACTGTGGTCACACGAAATGACTCTCACAGAACTTGAAGCTAACCTGCATTCCTGATTCCTGAAACACTAGTCATTGTGCGCCTCCACCTCCACCCGGAATCAAGTGAATGATGCAAATATCCACATTAGTTGCAAAATCACAGGGAAATAAACAGTGTAGATGTTGGTGGAGAAGTCTCAGATGTCAGAAGTGTTGGTTAAAATCGTTGCTTTTAAATGATCTCATTTGCCATCATGTGTGCAAGGTCTGATAGAAAGTGAAATGACATAACTGTACACATTCATTATAACAAACACTTTAAGTATCTCTTCACTCAGGTGAAAAGGTGTGACCAGATAACACCTAAAGTGCTGCACTTTATTGGTCTGGTTTCCAGGGATTTTACTGACCAGTGCAGGGTGAAAGTGAAGCAAATTCTCCCAGTGGAATAAGTCAGAGAGTGCGTTATTGTGAGTTTCATTGCGTTGGCCAAAGAGTTGTAAATCCTGCAGACGATGACAGGCTCTTTTGTGGGTCACAATCCATGCTCACTCCACAGTCATCTTAATCTGCCTTACAAATCTGTGAAGGGTGTGTACGAGTGGGTGGATGTCTCTGTGTGTGGGTGGGTGTGAGTGATATTTTTGCTGTATGTGTGTATGTGCATTTGAGCATGTGCCAGAGTTATGGTTCCAAACCATTTAAACCATACAGCCGACGTAAACAACCTCTGAATCAAGAATTACCAGAAGATCACACCACATAATACAGCAGAAATAATTTGATTTAGCTTTGGCTTTGGTAACGCCTTCCCCAACCCCATTGGTAAGTTTGTATTTATTTGCCAAAACAGTTTTACATGTAGAGCCCGAGGCAGGCCACATTAGTGAAAGCTATTCCCCCACAGCCTCGGCTTATATTACACAGCTTTGTTGGTCTTGACTGGCCGACTTATGAGTGATGGACACAGCGACACCGGCTATCAGCAGGGGTTTGTATTAACTTTGTTTTCAGATGTTGGGTAGTCTACTATGTATCTGATCAATCAATTTGAACAAAAGGCCTGCTTTATGCTGAATGTCTGATGAGGTGAAATCAGCATAATGTGTGTTTAGTTTATGTCTCGGTGCCAGTCTCACAGGAAGAATGCTTTGTTGCGTGGCGGCACCGTGAATATGAGTGACGTGTGTTTGTATGTAATTGTGTGTATGTGTGATGCGCAATGTCTGCTCTTTAAGTGTGTGTTTACACACTGAGGGGACACAGTGTGAGCCCCCTGTTGTCCTGATCCAGACATGTACACGCACAACTCAGGACTGATGACCTTTTGCACTTCAGACTCCCATGGTGTGTTTTCATCACTTAAGCTTATCCACGTCTGAAGTATCACAGGCAGTATGAAAAATAAAGTGAACGCTGGGCCTGGTGTCATTTCAGCCTGAGGCGGAGCTTCATCCGACAGTACTGTGGGCTTTAGTGCATGTCTCTCTTCTGAAATATTTTATTAATCTCTATGATTTAAACTGGTTAGCAGTCTAAATTGCAATAACACAAGCTGAATGTACACCTGTTGCCGTCAGTCAGAAGAAGGTCTTACGTAATATCTGAACAAGGCTCAGAATGATAAAAACACAACAGTGCCAGGGAGGTCACTCTGGTGCAATGAGATTTGACCCCAAATTGTGCAATGTACACTCCTCACAACGTCACAGCTACCGGTGTTTTTATTTGTGATTGTGTGCTTATCAGGACAGAGCGTTGAATTTAAAGTGGCATGTTGTCCTCAAATTTAGTCTCATGTCGTACCATGTGACCACCTTGGTTTACCATTTAAGTCCTGAAAAGTAGTTAATAATCTGTAACACTGACACATAAATACAAGAACTTTTGCCTGTGGCTGCAGCCAGTTACCACATCCATTTACACTACTAATGAAACATTTACTGTACATGCATTGGTCTGATGGTGTCATACAAATTGTTTAGAGGCAGAAAGGAAGTAACAGTAAAGAAACCAACTTAAAAGTCAATTAATTTTCATTGACATGGTTGTTAATAAACCGCTCCATGAGGTTTATGTAGATCTACACCGAACATTGGAGGAAATAAATATTATCAGGGTCAACTAATGTATAAATCGAATCATTTGTAGCTGTAAGACTGATGGAGGACAGTAGAACTTATGTTTGTTTTCCATACAAATGAGATGATGCAACAACCTGTCAGGGAGAAATCACTTGCTATTGAGCAACTGCCTCAGTCTCTCTTAAAGGAACACTTTACCCACAAAATGACCATTTGTATATCTATCAGTTGGTCATGCTGTGTTACTTTGAATTCTGTGAAGAAAACCTTTTTCTCATATGCCAGCACGGAAAACGACAAACATATTGTGGGGCCGTTCAGAATAGTTAAGTTTGTGCCCCCTCTCTTCCATTACAAATATCTCCTGGTTGCTAGATGTAACGTTTTGATTGGTTAGCTGATGTGACAAGATTACATATGAAGACAGCAAGTTTTAGCAGGAGTCAGTAAGTAAAGGTTGAACGGTGCATGCAGCTCATTGCATGGACAGCACTAGCTTGCTGTTCTGCACCCGAGCTAGAGACCGCAACCCATCAGAGTTGCCTTCACTGATGTAAATTGCTGTATGTTCAGTGCTCACCTGCCGAAGTTAAGTAAAGTGCATAAATGGAAGATTCCTTGTCGTGTGAAGTGATTTCCACCCATGCACATCCTGATGGATTAGCCTAGCTTACTTCGGAAGCCGAAAGCATGACAGTATTGACTAAATGACTTACTGGGGACTGCGTTTAACAGCAGTAAAATCCAAGCCTCCATTTTGTGCGGTAACATCAAAGTGTCATTTATCCAGTCATATGTGCAAACGAATGCATTTTCACTAAAAACACTGTAATATTGTAGTCTGGCCTTAAAGACAATGTAGATAAGTTACACTTTTAGTTCAGTTTTAAAACTAAGGTTTTGGCGAAAATGCATGTGTTTAGGAAGTACTGAGCGAATGACTGGATAAATGAGACCTGCATTACACCGCATGAGTTGTATGAAAGCTTATTGATGGGTGTTTTGACATAGTTTTGTTGTTGTTGAATGTGGCCCGCATTAAGCCATAAATCCATGTTTTCCTTGGAGGCATACGAAAATAAAAAAACTGTTTACTACATGAATTCAAGGTAACACAGCATGACTTACTGATATACGAATGGTTATTTTGTATGTGAAGTATTCCTTTAAGTTTGCTGTCTGTACAAATGAGGTGATGCAACAACCTGTTTTAATAGAAAAGTCGGGAAGAAGTCATTTGCTATTGAGCAACTGCCTCTGTCTCTCTTAAAGGAACACTTCACCCATAAAATGGCCATTTGTATATATATCAGTTGGTTATGCCCTGTCACTGTGAATTCTGTGACGAAAACGTTTCTCATATGCCTCCATGGAAAACGGAACATATTGATTTAACGATTTATTGGGGACCACATTTAACAGCAGCAAAATCAATGCATCCATTTACAAACTCTTAACACAACTCATGCAGTAACATCCAAGTCTCTTTATCCAGTCATATGTGCAAACAAATGCATTTTCACTAAGAAACACCTTAGAATGTAGATAATTTGACTTTCGGTTCAGTTTTACAAACTAATATTTTAGGGAAAATGCATGTGTTTGAGAAGTATTGAACAAATGACTGAATAGATAAGACTTTGATTAAGCTGCAGGAGTTGTATGAAAGCTTGTTAATGGGTGATTTACCATAGTTTGGCTGTCAAGCCATAAATGAATGTTTGCCGTGGAGACATGCGAAAAAAATAGATGAATAAAAACAGTTTCCTTCATGGATTCAGTGTAACACAGCATGACTAACTGATATATGAATTATTATTTTATAGGTGTAGTATCCCTTTAAGTTTGTTTTCTATACAGATGGGTTGATACAAGGTTGACGAGAAAAGAGAAACCATTTGCTAATGAGCCACTCTGAAAACGATGTTAAATGAGTTCTTCAAAAAACTAAACAACTTGAACATGTGAGCTGGTAAAAATATTGTATGTTTAGACACACATTTTCTCCTTGTTTCACTGTAAAATAAAGGCACAGAGCCTGTGTGTGTTTTCTAAACAGCACCCATTGAACTCAGTGATGCAGCCCTTCAAAAAAAACAGCGGAATCCTCTGAACACGCCCTTATTCCCATAAGACGTGAACGCCGCATTAATCACCCTCAGTTATGGGCGTGGTCTATTCGGAGGGGGGAGGAGTTGTTTGCGAGCGTGTGGTGTATGTGTGTGCGTGTTTGTGTGCGCGTACGTGTAAGTGTGTGTGTGTGTGTGTGTGTGTCCTCCCCGGCCGCATGAGATGAGCTGCCTGCAGTCTTTGCGGCCACTGTTTTCGCCTCCTCCTCCTCCTTCTCCTCCTTCTCTTCTTCTTCTTGCCTCTGTCTATCTGTCCAGTCCGGGAATGTTGACCACCGTGGCCTGATCCAACGCCGCCGAGTGTCCCTTCATCTCCTGACTGCCACTCTCCGTGTTTGTCTCTGCGGGTCGTAGCCTGCCTCAACTGTGATCCAGCTGTAAGGTGAGTGCATGTTACCCGAACAAGACACTGTTCTCGTGCTCCTCGTGGGGGTTAAAGAAAGTCCGTGGAGAGTGGGGCTGTGAGCGCGTGTAATAAAAGTTTAATGTGCTGTTGTGATGACACGCAGTGTTTTGCGGGTCGGAACACATGTGCGCCGCTGCGCGTAACCACGTAGCGGGACCAGAGTCCATGCCTTCCTGTGTGACACCAGCAGCAGTCATTGAAGTTTGAAAACAAGTTTATTCATCGGGTCGGGCTGTTGCATGTAACTGTGTTCACTTTACTGTATCCCCACTAGTGGAAAGCTTCCACCGTGGACTGTTTCGGCGTTCGTGCGCGCACCGATCTCGTGCACTTTTCTGCACCTTTCCCAACCTTTGCTGTGTTAGCCTGTCTCTCGGGGAACAGTATTTTGATCCCAACAGCCTGCCTTGTTTACGATTGCGTAACAGCAGTCTACAGTGGCCCATAGCCTACTTTCTATCCAGTAGGACTCCAGCTCCTCGCGTTGACCCCCCCACACCCCCCAACCCCAACTCAGTTCTGTGAGAGTTTCGCCAGTCTCGCCTTATCCTTTTGGCAGCATTTGCTTTGGGGGTGGGGAGGGGTGAGAAAGAGGCGTTTTCCCATTTAGCCCTACTGCAGCGGTTTCCCAAAGTGGGCTCCGGGGTCCTCTATGTGGTCCTTGGGTGGCTTCCAGGGGGTCCCCCAGTAAAGTGAGTTGAATCAGTTTTGGAGGCACCACATCTTAATGCAGCATGAGGAAGGAGTTTTTAATTACTGAGTTGACTGTAAAAAGTGTTACCAGTGCACTTGTTAAGCAGGTCTGGAGGACTGAATCAATATAACAGCGAGAACGCTCCCAGAGGGAGTGTGTTGGGAAGTCTTATCAAATTGGCCTCCATGATGTGGGTTTGCTTGATATAAGAAGTCTTTATGAATCCTTGGCCTACTCCTTGACCTTCAAGCTTTCAAGAAATCCAGTAAATGCAGACTGTAACTGAAGGTGTACCCCTCCTCTGTTGTTTCATTTTGACTTTTAAAGCCAGCTGCAACTTATATATCAAGTCAATAATAGTGTTTTCTCTCAGTTATACTTTGAGAAACTCTGTTTAATGATGGTAATTCTGATGGAAAGGCTATGTGAGTGGGAGAGCGCCTGATCATTATCTAATCTAGCTTTATGTGTAAAGGTCTTGACAAAGCAACTCCTCATAGATAGTCTAATCTGCTCTGTCATTTGGGCTCTCTTCCAAATCAATTCCTTTATTGGCTGCATGTGGTCTCTGCAGAAAGTTGCATAACCACCCAAATTTATGATTCTGTTTCTGGGAACTATCGACGTTGGCCTGTGTGTTTTGAATGCAGATCAGGACTCTCACTGGGAATGTGGAGCTAGACTGGAAGGAGGCACGTAGGGACTGATGCACTTGGGAAGATTTTGTAGGTAATGCATCCAAAATCTGTTCTATCAGTGCACCTTTTCAAGGGAAAAACTTGTCGAAATCCAAAGGTATCAGTCTGTCTGGAGGGTTCAAACATGTGGGTTCCACAAGCAGAAATGATGGTCATCAATTTCCATAGGGCTAGGCGATATGGAGAAGATCAAATTTCACAATACTTTGGAAGTAATACCTCGATATTGTGATGATATTGTAGGGTTGACCATTGATGACACTTAATTGTAACCGGGAAAAGACACTTACAATATTACCACCTAAATCTATGTCTAGTTTCATACCATGATATAATGTCAGTGTATTATCCAAGCTGTAAGCATGTGTTGATATCGTGTTTGGCGGTTTTGAGTACATGTAGTCATTCAGCACTTTAATACTGGATTAATTAAACCCTATATATAGGCTATTAGTATGTCTTACATGAAACCTTGACATACCTTCAAAATTAATACAAGCGAAGCCCAGTCAGCAACCTTTCTGGAGTCACTGAAGTGAAACACATGATCTGGCCAACCACTGATATTTCACTCAACTTGGCAACCCACACTGGAGCACTTAGATACTGCACACATGCAGAGCCCTCTGCATGTTAACCTCTCAAGTGTGGTTGAATATGAAGTAGTCTGATCACGTGGCTGTTGCTGCTGCTGCTGCTACATACAGTCTGAAACATGCTATGGTTGTGTCTTTTCAAGCATGTCATTTTTTTGACACTCTCCCATTCATAGCCAAAGAGGATTTCTCTTTTCCTTGCCCCTGCCCATTATTTCCTGCTTTCTTTCATTTAATTATGTTGTGGTCACATCTCTGTGCACATGGCAACCGCTCTAGCTGCGGTTTCTTTCACCCCCTCAGCACCAGTCCTGCTATTTCAAGTCCATGCTCAGTAAGCACAGGCATGACGGGGCATGAACTCTGCGAGACTACAGGCTGCCAAAAGGCTGCTGACTGCACATATTGCACATAATTATACTCACAATAAGCTATACTCAACTTGCTCTAGGATTCAGACTTGTGTGTTACCTCTTTCGAGAAACTCCTGAGAGTCTAAAAACGCTGTTGGTTGTGCTGCTCATGCTCCGTTGGTTTTTGATTGAAATACTGTGTGCTTGGCAGTGATCGCCCCAGAGATTTCTTGCATAACCAAAACCGGAGCCTCATTTTAAACGTAAGCACTTTTCTTGAAATGCAAATGCACATAAGGTCGGATACCCCCTCCTTGTGCTCTTGCTTGTATGCATATAGTTTCAGCTGCCATCCGTGGGGAAAAGTGGCAGAGATATCCTATTAGCTAGTATTGGTGGTATAAGAGCTTGTGGTCGTGCTCCAGGCAGCATTCCATTGGGTCTTGCGTCAGCCAGCAGTCATTCAGCACTGGTTAGTCTAGGCTTATACACTGTTAATACCCCCTCCCTGATGTCATGACACCATTAACCCAAGCCTGCTGGGGGACCACAGCACAGTTCATGTCAGTCGACTGACTGCCTGGATCTAAAAGCAGAGCAAATTCACCATCTGTACCAAAAGGCTCAGCTGGGCTGTCAGTGGTCAAAAAGTAATCCGGGGATGTTAGAAACTGATATTTGTTTTTGGCTAAAGGTTAAGTTTGTACTCTTGCATAATCAGGCATTATTCCTAGATGTCCTTCTTGCCTCTGTTAAAAAGTTCTACATTGGGTTCCCACATAATTGGCCTTAAAGCATGCTACAAACTTTTGCATTTAGGTATTTTAAATTGTACTTAACCACAAGTTAACAGTCCTTAAGACCCATGTGACCACTTATTGTTGACATTACAGCCCAATTAATGTTTTATATACTTGGTATCTCAAGTATAACTGCTGAGTAATCATGTTCTGCTTTGGAACGAGGCATTTCTAAGAACCTAGACACTTGCCAGAGGAAAAACTTTGTGGTATTATTCTTCCTCCTCCATACTGTAAATATGGACCTGTACAGTCCCGATTCTCTCCGCTCTCCACTTGTGACCAAAGGTGATGCAATGCTTGCTTGTCTAACCACCAAAGTGTACAGTGGATTGGGTTTCTCACTGTCTGGTGTTGGTCCAAATGTGGCTGAAACCCAAGCCTGCGTGAGAGGCAAGAATGTTGCCTTTATTCTGTAGGTAACTGAACACCTGACGGGGCCACATGCTCGGGTGGGCACAGGTAATGTGGTGTGGATGCATTGAGTTGTGTCAGAAAAAATGAGCTCTTTAACACATATATATCCTACACCATTTTTAACCCCCGCTGTCATGTTCTCTTGCTTTTATCTGTACATGTCTGTCGTCTCTCAGTTTATCTTTGTCTCTTTGTCCATCTGTCTACCCCATTGTCTGCCCCCCTCTTTTTTTAGCTAGCCTCGCTCTCCTAGTTTCACTGTCGATACCTCTGTCTGTGTCTTTCTGTTGATCTGTGTCTCACTGTACCAGCTGAAATCTGCAATGCAGAATCAAAACAAACCATGGTTAGTTGGCTTTGGTAGATGTAACATACGATTAAAAACAAAAAGGCCTTTTTCTCCCCTAGAAATAATTCCCAGTGTGAAACCTCAGAACAATACAGGCATTTATCTGTTCTTGAATTATAGCACTGTCCTGAACCTCACTCTGATTCCCTCTCATGCTCTGAATAGCACTTATGACCCTGTATGCATGTATTTTGTCGTACATAATTGCATTTTCTACCCTCTGGTTTGCTAGTATTATACTCAGACTTAGAAGCGATCAGGGCTTAGAGTGGTGTACTTTGGTACTTAGGTATAGGACTTTCATTAAGTCCTTCTTAATATGATTTTTTTCCAGCCAGCAAAGTTTGTTAGCATTCCTAAGAGTAAATCCTGTTCCCCTTTACCCCCAAATGGCCACATATAACTCCAGCCCTTTTCTGATACCAGTTATATGTTTTACCAACAAGGTCAGTTTTGTTTGGGGTTTCAGTTTTTCTTTGGTTGTACATGATAATGATGCCAACCCAGACCTAGGGCTGCAGCTACCGATTATTTTCAATATCAACTAATCTGTTTATTATTTCCATGATTATTTAATCAGTCATTTAGTCTATAAAATGTTAAAAATGCTTAACACAATTTCCCAGAACCCAAAGTGACATCTTCAGTTTGCTTCTTTGGTCTAACCAAGAGTCAAAAACCCAAAGACGTTTCATTCACTGTCATAAATGACAAAGAAAGGCAGCAAATTCTCACATTTAAGAAGCTGGAACCAGTAAATGTTTGACATTTGTGTTTGAAAAATGACCGCAAGGATTAATTGATTTAAATATAATTGGCAGCACCAGCCACAACACAGCTTTATTTCCTCTACTAATGCGACTGTTGTGTGTATTTTACAGTATCAGTCATTTAAAGAGATTATGTGCTACCAACAGGTGTAGTAAAGATGGCGTCATGAGACGGTGAATCCATCTAACGCAGCCCTCTGGGGCCACCATTACAGCCAACTTGTGCACAAGCACAATTGCTCCTAAGCTCCGTCCATTCATCTATGCCATTGCATAAGAGCGGTTCTCCCAAGCAGCCC